TCTTCTTCTACTTATTTTTTTACTCAGGAGGATGTTATAAACTTGTCTAAATTCTTTTAGAACTCCCAATTTCCTTTCTTTTTGTTATTACAATTATATCCTGAAGTAAAATTAAATTAACGATACATCATTTAATGGAACACTTGCCTTATAAGTAAGAACTAACACTCTACAAATTGTACCGCCACCCCACCTCCACCTCCACCTCCAATTATATGTATTCCACCTTTTTAAATCTAAACCATTACTCTTCATAACAACTAACATAAACTTAAAATCTGTTACTCTTCATAACCATCTTAAACTTTGAATGTATCATCTTCATTACCATCATAAACCCTTCATAAATCAGAAACCTTGAATCAAAAAGCTCTTTTCAAGTCCAATGTTTTACTCTTCATCAGTTATTTTACCTTGTAGAATAATAAAGGATGATTGAAAACAATTTTGATGAGTCTAGCATTCCATTAGTAAGTTTACCTGTATTGCATTAATATTCTTGGTTGTTTTCAATTGTTGTTGATTTGTTCAAACTGTTCGGTACTGGTTTGCCGATTGTCAAAATTATGTTCAGTAACACAGACTGAACACAAACATTTAGTTCAATATATGAGTTTCCGAACAGTAATGTAGATAGTCGGTACTGGTGTGCCAAATAGTTTGATTTTTGTATCTTCACAACAAATTGTATGTTTCATGAAGATTTTACCTGAGAGGAATTCCCAATGAGTTTTTCTGCAATGGTAGACACATTCGACGAGTTTTTCCGAACAGTATTTTTGGACATCGTCAAGTTGATTCCTCGTTTCATTGAGAGTTGATAGAAATTTCAATGATAAATCATCGATGCATGTTTCTTTACTGACGCAATGATGTTTATTGATGCAATGATCGTCAGTGTTCTTTTTCAATATGAAATGAACGGTCATCAAAATGAAAAGGAGAGAGGGTGTGTAAAATTAAATGGGTTGTACCATTGGGTATAATAATTTTATGAATATGGTAAATTTGATATTAAGGGCTAGTTTGGCAACCTTAGAAAAATCAAAAAGTTACACAAAAAATTCAAAATTATCACTATTCACAAAACAAATATTTAAAATTAATATACAAATATTAATACAAATCAAAAAGTTGGCCCAAATGATGGTACTGACGTAATGATTCAGTTAGTGACAGAGAAAAAAAAATTAAAGTAGAATATTCACTAAATCTTAATAGTAGAGTTGGGCCCATGGAGGCTCACCATGGGTCTTGTTTTGATAATCTGAACCGTTAAATATGTAGAACTCGTCTAGTACTATATTGCTTGTAAAAAATTATGTCTATCGGATATCGCTAACTACATGATCAAACTAGTTTTGTATAAAAATTGATAATGTTATAGTTAATAGTTAACAAAAAAAAAAACTAACATGATCAGATAGCTATCGATATCCAATCAACGTGATTTTTTAGAGGATATCGTACTCGATGAGTTCTACACATTAACGTTCTGATTAGAAAAATGGGACCCGTGGTGGGCCCCCACGGGCAACAATACCATCAAATCAAAGCCCGAGAAAGAGACAATATTTCCTCATCTACTCACCCAACGGGCTCCTTTGCCAATCGTACGGCCTCCTACCCTATATTCTCCTATACATTTATTTATACAATTTTTAATACACATTTTTTCATAAAAAGTCAAAAAGTTAACCCAAATATTTATATTTTTTTTCCTCAACTTTTTAGTCCAAAAAGACAAAAAGTATACTTATTTAGGATACCCCAAACAACCCCTAAGTGGAATGTTCAAAAAAATCTTATTGAAATTTAGAGTTTAGAGCGGAGGCCCAAAAAAAATGAAGAGTCTAAAGAATTTAAGCAAGTGCTAACATCAGCCCTCTTACTTTAATTTAAATTATTTTATTATGTTCCAATAAGTTCTATAGGTGACATAAGCGAGATTAGTGTTCACATTGACAGTTTGAATGTTTCATGATATAAACATCCGCACTATCAAATTTATTTAATGTGAATGTTCATATCACAAATTTACCAAGGGTTTAAAAATATTTCTAAGGGTAAGATTGTTCATAAAATACCTTAAATATGATAATTATGATTTGGATCATCAAATGTCTAAGATAATTGGAATTATTGGAATATAAAAATATCTTATGAACTAATTGGGATACAACTTGAAAGAAGATTTTATAATAAATTCCCCTACTAACAAATTATTAATGAAAATTAACTTAATTATTATGTGAATTAAAATTTTAAGGAAAGTAAGTCTAATTATGCCAAAAGTATTTAATTAGTTATAATTTTTTTTTAAAATATCAAGAGAGGGGAGTGTAATTCACATAACAACTAAGAGTTTAATTACATTGGCTTCCCATAAAGTTTTAATTCACCTAATAATTAAATTATTTTTCATAAATAATTAGTTAATCATATAAATAAAAAATAATATTATCATATGTTTTTAATTTGAATATATATTTGTTTTTATTTATTTTAGTATTTATCAACTATCTGCATGAGTTTCAATTGTTTTAGCTATACTAAGGCCTCATTTGGGAATATGTTATTTTCCGTACGGCCTCCTACCCTATATTCTCCTATACATTTATTTATACAATTTTTTAACACACAGTTTTTTATAAAAAGTCAAAAAGTTAACCCAAATATCTATATTTTTTTCCTCAACTTTTTAGTCAAAAAAGACAAAAAGTACACTTATTTAGGGCACCCCAAACAACCCCTAAGTGGAATGTTCAAAAAAATCTTATTGAAATTTAGAGTTTAGAGCGAAGGCCCAAAAAAAATGAAGAGTCTAAAGAATTTAAGCAAGTGCTAACAGCAGCCCTCTTACTTTAATTTAAATTATTTTATTATGTTCCAATAAGTTCTATAGGTGACATAAGCGAGATTAGTGTTCACATTGACAGTTTGAATGTTTCATGATATAAACATCCGCACTATCAAATTTATTTAATGTGAATGTTCATATCACAAATTTACCAAGGGTTTAAAAATATTTCTAAGGGTAAGATTGTTCATAAAATACCTTAAATATGATAATTATGATTTGGATCATCAAATGTCTAAGATAATTGGAATTATTGGAATATAAAAATATCTTATGAACTAATTGGGATACAACTTGAAAGAAGATTTTATAATAAATTCCCCTACTAACAAATTATTAATGAAAATTAACTTAATTATTATGTGAATTAAAATTTTAAGGAAAGTAAGTCTAATTATCTCAAAAGTATTTAATTAGTTATAATTTTTTTTTTTTAAATATCAAGAGAGGTGAGTGTAATTCACATAACAACTAAGAGTTTAATTACATTGGCTTCCCATAAAGTTTTAATTCACCTAATAATTAAATTATTTTTCATAAATAATTAGTTAATCATATAAATAAAAAATAATATTATCATATGTTTTTAATTTGAATATATATTTGTTTTTATTTATTTTAGTATTTATCAACTATCTGCATGAGTTTCAATTGTTTTAGCTATACTAAGGCCTCATTTGGGAATATGTTATTTTAGTAAATTTTTAATTTTTTACGAAAATATATGCAAAAAAAAATAAAGAGAGTGATATGACAACTTGTAGTAACTTTTTGAATTTTTAACTAAAATGATTACTCTCCAAATGAAGCCTAAAAAGGATATCAATGTAATAATGTCAAAAGTGTAAGGTTAATTATGTTTTCCTGTTTTCCTCAAACCTCAAGAAGGGAGGTTGATATAATTTACCAAAAATTATTCTATGTTTTTCTGAAAATAATAATAATTTTCATTTATGTATTTAATAATTATATTAGGGTAAGCAATGCTACATACACTAAAAACATGCATGTTGAAATATCAAGATTTTTACTAAGAATGTAATATCTTTATAATTATTCTATTAGGACAGTTAAAAAATAAAAACGAGGCCTCGTTTGGGAACAGGCTAATTTAGTAACTTTTTGGCTATTTGGCTAAAAAGGTAGGTAAAAAAAACTTGTATGTTTGGGATGACTTTTTGGCTAATTACGAAAAGATGTGCAAAAAGTAGAGAGAAAAGAGAATCTTTGACTTTTTGGTATGGGTTGTTGGCTTTTTGACTAATTTAGTAACTTTTTGGCTAATTGGCTAAAATAGCCTCTTACCAAACGAGGAGTTACATATGTTATCTGATGATTTAATCTATATAATATATTATGAAGTTATATAAAATGAATTTAGTCTAAAATTTTATGGAGTTTGAACAACTACAAGAAAAAAAAATATTTATCTAAAAAATATCTATCGAGCGCAACACGGAGCTATATATGTATATATAGAAATAGTGTAATGATATGTTTGCACGTCATTTTTTTTTTTTTTACAAGATAAAACTAAATTTTAAAAATTTAAAAACATATTTTTTGATGTTTACTTTTATTAAATTTATTTATTTATAATTTGAAAAAAAAAACGAAACAACAAAGATTAGTCGGTTTTTCCTCAACTAGACCCATATGGCCGAACATTCATCAGATCGGGTTAGGCAACACTAAATAATAAGAGATTTTATATTTGTCTAAATCTGTCACATCCCTAATATCAGACCTCTACATCTACCTAAGCTCAACCCAAAATATAATTATAAATCTCAAACTTAACTATCAAGATATATATATATATATATTTTAAACATTTCATTATTAAATTCAACCATATATTATATTTATTAAATAAACATACTGACATTATTATTAATTAAAAAATTTCTTAAATAAATACAATCACACATCATCATAAATATGAATTTCAATAAAATCAACAAAAATAAAATTTAAATTATAATAAAAAATATATAGTTAATATATTATAATAAATTGATAAATTAATTTAATAAAAAATTTGAATGGAGCTAGGTTGAAAATATAAATATGAAGCAACCCGTAGGTTAGGTTCAGCCATGATGAAGGAAGCGGGTTAATAAGGGTGCGGTTGCGAAATGTGATACATCGTCTTCGTTCATCGCTTTCGTTTTAGAGAGAGAGAGAGAGAGAGAGAGAGAGAGAGAGGACATACTCAAAGAGAGACAGATAGAGTAGAGAGAGATGTCGAAGACTCTGGTGCAGCCGGTTGGTCAGAAGCGATTGACGAACGTCGCAGTGGTTCGCCTGAAGAAGCACGGAGTTCGATTCGAGATTGCTTGCTACAAGAACAAGGTCCTCTCATGGCGCTCAGGCGTGTAAGTCCTTCTCTCTCTCTCTCTCTATATATGTATATATGACCTTAGTGTACGCTACTAGTCCGAATTGGCCTTATAGTTCTGTACCTTCTTATGCTGTAAATATTGGGGTTCTTGTTGTGATCACGCGTTCAGATGAACATAAATTTAACTCCACTCTGACAAAAATATTAGTGATTGTGGCTTAAATCAGTTCAGCGTGAATTTGAGAAACTTAGGGCACCTAGGGACAGTTTGAGATATGTTAGAATTAAATTGGCGATATTGAAACCATTTGGGTTATGTTGTGTTGTGGAGACCAGGTATCATTTAGCAATTAGGCATGGCTTAGTCTGTGCTTGTGTGTGCTTTTGCATGTGAATCGAATGGTTTTGCTTCAAACTTGTATTGAATTATATGAATCAATTCGTGAATTGTGATATGCTAACAAACCATGGTAATTAGTGTTACGTTACCATGATATAAATTATTTATATACATGACATATAATAAATTTGTAAAATTATAAATTTTAACATGTTCCAAACCAAGCATGTTGTGGGAGCTGAATAAGTAGCAGAATTAGAAACGTACGCTCTAGAAGATAGACATTACTCAGCTCTAACCTGCACGATCAGGAGGCCGAATACAATAAATAGGCCGAGTAACTATTGAACTACGGGGCCGAATAAATAAGCGGACAGTGAGCGAAAAGTGGACCAGGCCCCGAGGCCCTGGAAACGAGTATAAATAAAGGAATAGCAGTCGAAGAAAGGTATGTGAGAACTAGTATGCTTAACTTAAAATACAAGTAACCCAGAGAGAGTAGAGACTGACTTGTCCGTCGGAGTGCTAATTCCGGCACCCCCGACCGGAGTGTTCATTTCTCTTTAGGTGTCTATCTGAGGACAGCGAGCGTCTCCCAGGATCAGAAGAGTATTTCCAAACCACTTCTCCACAATTGGCGCTGTTTGTGGGAATACTCAAACACATCCATGGCGGGCGTAACGGAAGACCCTCCGATAGTCACTAATGAAACCACGCAGAGAGACGACCTCACTCTAACAAACATGCTTGGACTGGAGACTATCCCCGCAAGACGCGCTTTGAACTTCGCTTCACCCTCGATTTCAGAGCATGAGGCAATGCAAGCGATCATGGAACAAGCGAAGCAAAACGAACAGAGGTTGGAGAACATGTTCGTTGAGAACGAACGTCTCCGTCAGGACTTGGCCTTGGAAGTGGCAAAATCCAAACAAGCTGTACGCCAAGACCCGGAACGACCTCTGAGGGCAGGTGGTCGACGACCTCGAGCCCGACAACAAGACACTGATAGCGACTCCGACTCATTATCCCCGGAGCCCAAGAAAAAGGGTCTACCCGAGACTTCCAGTTCCTCTAAAGAGAGTCCACGTATAAGGCATAAGCGCAGGAGAAACAGTTCAGAGGAGGAAGACCAGCATGATCCCTTTGTGCGACGGATTGCAAGGGCGGTTCTGCCCAAAAAGTTTAAAGCTCCGTCGTTCACTTTCTATGATGGAAAATCAGACCCCACCGATCACATCCGTCACTACAAGCAAGCCATGACATTACATGCAGAAAACGAGGCCTTCATGTGCCGCATATTTCCCAGCAGTTTGGGACCATTGGCGGTCAGGTGGTATTATAAACTGGAGCCGGCTTCGATTAAAAGCTTCCATCAATTACATAAATCCTTCCGGGCCAGATTCATCACCAACGAGGTCCAACCGAAACAAGCCGACTCTCTCTGGGCAATGCAGATCCAACCAGGAGAAACACTAAGAGTGTATTCGGCGCGCTATTGGGAGTGCTTTAATCTTGTCGACGACGCCTGCAACGACTCCATGGCCATCACCGCTTTCAAAATGGGTTTGCATCCTGACAGTGCTCTCCGCAATTCCTTGACTAGAAGGCCCCCCCAAAACAGTCTGGTCGTTGATGAAGAAAGTTGAGGAATACTGCAAAGTGGAGGATGACGCATTGCGGGTTAAAGCCGAAAACATGGCCAACAAGACGGCCCCTTCTAAAATTGCTCAGCCAATAAATTCTGTAGCACCTCAGAGCCCTGAACCACGGCATCGGGTTAAACGAGACAAGAGACGGGATTCCCGCCGATTAAGCGACAAATGCTCCCACCGAGCAAATGAACAACTGTAAGTTGATAACAGGCGCACGAGGCGCGCCGACAAGAAATATACGGAGTTGACAGAGCCGATCATCACGGTTATGTCCAAAGTCCAACACCTTCACGAAACACTTCGAAGTCCTGCTGACCTACCATCGACTGCTGGACCTCGAGTGGAAAAATCTATCGAGCGAACTCGACTGCCACATTTGGATCTCGAACGATCGAATCCGCCTCTGTCATGGGTCTATTCTCCACGAAGACCGCAAAACTCAATGGGCGTGGATTCGCGTCGGATTCCCTTCCAGAACGGGGTGGAGGAGATTTGCCGTGTGGCTGCTTGTCCCTCCTGGGCGATCTACTTCGACGACGAGGAGATTGGTGTCTCTCCCGATCCCTCGAAGTCCTACTTCCCGCACGTGAAGGTTTACCACTTCGACTCATATCTCCTCCCAGCTCAGCTAGCGTCCTCACTTCCCCTCTGCTGTTGAAAAAAAGTCTATTCAACATTCGTGCTTGTTTAATCTTCCTCAAAGAGCTGGACTGAGTTACTGACTGAGCACATAAATAGGACCTTCATTCACGAAGTACACGCCCATTTATTCCCTATGAGGGCAGCACCTCCGAGGCAATCTTATTAATATTGAAACCTCAACAGCCCGGCGCTGACTGAGTCATATGCCCCAATCGCCCCATCAATCACTGTTAGTCGGCATTTAATGTTCATGAACCAGCTGGGACAAGGGCAGATTCATCAATCTAGTTGGCTTGAGTGCCCCAGCCACTCCACGAATCGATTCTTCAGTACAATATTCATAAGTTCATGTTATTCAGCGTTTAATGTTCATGAACCAGCTGGGGCAAGGGCAGATTCATCAATCTAGTCGGCTTGAGTGCCCCAGCCGCTCCACGAATCGACTCTTCAGTACAATATTCATAAGTTCATGTTATTCGGCGTTTAATGTTCATGAACCAGCTGGGGCAATGGCAGATTCATCAATCTAGTCGGCCATATACCTAAGCACAATGCCGATCAAACTGTGCCGCAGCCAGTCCATGAACTAGTCCTATTCGGCATCCAGAATTCATACATTGGCTGGGGCAAGGGCATACGATGGGGCCCTGAGTCGATTTACTTGTTCGGATAAATTAAGGTTAAATTAATTGCCAAGTTACACTGTTATCCAATCTGCAGCGATGCAGTGGGATATTTAATCTACTCATCTCTTGTTCCTACTTCCTATCGGATCGATAGTTAGCAAGCACAACAGACAGTAATCATTTTATCCAAAGTAGTGAAAAGCAAAACTCTTCATTAATATCAAAAACTGCGTACAACTAACAGTGAAATGAAAAGGAAATTTTCATTAATAAATTGAGCGCAGATATTAACTAATTTATACATGAAAATCACCTTGAACTAACAAAAATCTACCAAACAAAAACATACATTAAAATTGAAAATACTTAATAAAACTAGAATGTCTCCCAAATCAATCATCGGGATCAGACTTAAGTGGCTCAACGTCCACTTGCTCGTATGGAATTGGCATGGCCAATGTAACTCCAGCGGCATGTTTGAATCCCCGATTCTCGAATTTGGGGACTTCTTCTACGTAGTCCTTAAGGGTGGCGCTCTTTCCAGCCTCGAGCGCGCCGCAGAAGTCTCAGAGTCGGCTTTTTCCTTAGCCTTCTTCAACTCTTCTAATTCGGCCTCCACCTTGGCAAGCGCCTCCTTGGCTAACTTGAGCGATTCCTCGCTCGCGTTTGCCCTCTCCTCAGCGTCGGATCTGAGCTGGTCAGCAGTCCGAGCCCTCTCCTTCTCAGCTTCGGCTCGAGCACTTTCCATTGTGGCTCTCATCGCCTCGATCTCGGCCCTGCTCCTCTCACTTTCAGCTTTCGACTTCAAGCGGCCAATTCTTTCAATGGCATCGTGCTGGCGGCGGCCTAGTTCGGCTATCCTTCCAACCGTCTGCAAAACAAGGAGTTGGGATCATCACATACCAAGAAATATCGTATGCAAACCAAACCAAATAAGGAGTAAAAAAGATCAAGTCACATACCAAAAGGGCAGACTGGGCAGCTAACGCTATAGCTGCCAAATCCAGCTCTGCTCGAAAGGTGGCCTTGTCAGACGGCAATAAGACTGAGGCAGCCAAGCTCAACGCTATAGCTGGATCCTTCAAGGCAGATGCGTCAGAGGAGATCGGCGTGTTTTTGATCTTTGGTTGAACAACGAAAGGAACAACCACATCCGACTCCTCTAAGCGAGGCCGTTTGTCAGCGGGGCTCTCCTCTGAGCCGGCCTCTCCCTCGGCGGTACGTTTTTCCCCCCGCTCTTCTGGAATCGGCCGTTCTTCTAGAATCTGCAGTTCGGCTTCCTTCTCCGTCTCGGCCACAACAACTTGAGCCGTTTCTTCTACAATAACGGGTTGTGAAGATTCAATCGGGACAGGTCTAGAACAGGTGGCCCCGACTTTCTGCCGGGCAGCCATGTGTTCGGCATTTCTTTTTCGCGCCATCTGCGTGAGATTTTCCCCAGCCATATCCTCAGAATAAGCGCCGGGTAGATCTCCCAAATTTGTAAAAATACCTCCGAAGGAAAACTCCGCCCGACCCGAAGTGGACGGTGAGTTAGGCTGGTTAAGACCGGCTGCCTCAAACGCTGAGTTTAGAGCCTCATCGACCTTTTCGGCCTCCGTAGCGAACTCTCTCGTTGGTTCGGCAATTACCTCGACCACCGGCTCTACGTCTTGCTCCGAATCAGAAGCTTCGAAACCAATTTGCCTAAGGGTCTTGAAGCTGGGGAATATAAGAGCCGTAAGGTGTTGTTCACCGGATGGGATCGGAATGTCATCCGCGGCCGAGAACGTAG